CTGGGAGGACGCAGAGATGCAGTGCAGACACTATGGCGGCCACCTGGCTAACATCCTGACTCCCGAGGAGCAGGACTTCATCAACAGTGAGTGGCCTTCAGGTGGCCCCTGAAGGGCAGGAGAGAGGCCAGGGCCACAGGCTGGCACAGGAGGGACCCTCGATGCCAGTCTGGAGAGGTCCCAGGAGGAGGCCATGCTTGCACTGTGCCAGGGCTGCAGCTGGCAGGGTGATCAAGGGTGGGTGTTGGCGGCTGTGGGGGAAATCAAGGTACCAGGGACCCGATGCTGCACAGCCATCTACCTCTGTCTCTGCCACGGGACCCCCTGGCTTCCCCAACGTGATAGCTGCCCATGGCTGGGAGGAGTGGATGGCTTCATTGTACTGGCCCTGCATCTCTGGCCATGACCCCAGGCCTGGGTTGCTGGATGTCAGGAGTGTGAACATTTGCTCGAGAGCTGGGCATGTCTGAGCAATTTCTTGGGGCTGTGATATGGGGTCTGTCTGGGGCCAGAGACCTCTGCCTAGGAAGCCAAAAGAACCCCCTAAATGCCCACACCTTTAGACACAGATCATTCCCTACAAACTATACATGTGCATGCATGCACAATTATTCCCTACCAACCAGGTGTGTGTGTGCATGCCTGTGATCTTGCCCTACCAAACACACGTGTGCAATCGTTCCCTACGATCCATGTGTCTGTATGCATGTGTGATCACTCCCTACCAACCATGCACGTGTTTCCAAGGCTGACAGACCTGTCCAGTCTGGCTGTGCCTGTTATTTTATTCTCCCAGCCCTAACTGCAAACCCCTGTGGCTTCCAGATCAGTACAGGGAGTATCAGTGGATCGGGCTGAACGATCGAACGATTGAGGGCGATTTCCAGTGGTCAGATGGGAGTCCCTTGGTAAGTCCCAGGCACTCAGCACTGCGCCGGATACCAAGCAAAGAACAGAAGCCCCATCAACAGCCTTTATTCCTTCCCATCACCTGGAAACCATTCCCCACCTGTAGGTGTGAATCAGACACTTCAATTGGAGCTCCTGCTTCCAGGGGTCTATGGTATCAGTGCTCCAGAGGACAAGCTGCTTAAGTAGTGCCAAACCCTCTTGAGCTCGGACCCTGCTCTCCTGCACAAGCTAAGCCTCATCTGTCCAGTCTGGGAGGCCTATGCTGAACCCTGAAGCTGTGGCTGGGGTGGTCCAGGCCTCAGGGGTCTGGGTTTCTGAGTCAGTGCTGGCCAACTGTGCCAGTCCTGGATGCTGTGGTGCTGGTAGCATCCACGCTCTGTGAAAGAGCAGAGCTACTCACCTTTGATTTTTAAGTATCCAGCACTCACAACTGAATAATAACATGCAGCAAAGTGTGTGTGTATACGTGCATGTGTAACACTAGCCTGCAGCACTGTGTGTGTGCATACACACGTGTGAATGCATGTGCATATGAGCGTGGACTTATATGGGCTGTAATCCCGGCTCTCCAGGCAGCCCTACATGACTGAGCCCATTAAAAAACCTAGCACCAATGCTTAGGCCTCGTGTGAATTCTCGGTTGTGAGACCCCGGTGTCTCCCCCCAAGCCAAACCATGCTCCAGGCTGGGCTGCTGTCCTTCTGCCGCACCATGCAGTGGGTGCAGTACCCTTCCCTCTCTGCTGGTGCATGCTGTTACTTTTCCACCCCAGGGATGGCTGCGCTGCAGGGCAGGGTATAGTAGGGACTGTGCCCACTCTCCCATGGGTTGCTTCGGGGTCAGCCCTGATGTGCCTTCCAGAATCCCCTCTTGCACCTTTGCAATCACAGCTAGTGCTCTGAGTAAATCCGGCACAGGGCAGGTCTGTACCAGGGGCCCAGCTCCCCAAGGGATATGGGGGATTCCTCATCCACTGAAATGCTGCTCTAAAAGCAATCCCAGAGCTCAACCTCAGCACCTAGGTGAGAATCATCCAGAGCCCCTCCATGTTGCAGTGAGTACAACTTCAGCAAACCGACTCAGATAATAGCAGAAGCAGGGCTGTCTACAAATCAAACACCACGAGAGCTGCATATTGAACCAGCCTTGCAACCAGGGTTTGCTCCTCCACGACCATACCCAAGACCCAGTCCTGTCTCCTGACATTTAACGCGTGCACTTTTTGCATGCTCTAGTCCCTGGCTGCTTTTTTCATTCGCTCCTCATTGCCCTTTGACAGCTCTATGAGAATTGGCATCCTGGGCAGCCTGACAGCTACTTCCTATCCGGAGAGAACTGCGTGGTCATCGTGTGGCATGATGGGGGGCAATGGAGTGACGTGCCTTGCAACTACCACCTGTCCTACACGTGCAAAATGGGGCTAGGTAAGCATCCCATGCAGGGCTTTCCTGCAAACATGGAACTGGAAGCTGTGGGTATCCCCCCCCCGGGGGACATTTCCATGAGAAACAATCATTTTCAGTGATTTTTTTGAGGCAAAGTTGAACTCCCCAGGCCCCATGAACCCTATGTGCTGGCCAGCTGGGCAAAAGAAGGGGCTTTACCAACCTCACTCAGCCCCCTGGAAAGTTATGACTCACTGATCAGGTGGAACATGCTCAAAAAATATTCAAGGGCAAGTTTCAGGCTTTGCACTTTGGCTGTAATCCCAAAATTGGTTCTAGCAACATCTGGACCTTCTCTTTCCATTGTACAGCATGGCCCCTGTGATGCTTACATCCAGCTGACTGGCAGCAAGAGTAGGCTGTTTTCCCCTTTGCAGTAGGCTAGGACTCATTTTTCTAGTGGGCTACAAAGAGAATCGGATGAAATGGGTGCAAATGGTACAGCTGGTGTGGAAAAGAGGAGCTGAAGCATCTTGCCAGACATGTAGAACAAAAAAATCCTCCTAATATTATCTGGGTAGAAATTGGGAAATTTTCCACTCCCTCTCACATGGTCTGTGGGTCCCAAGTGGGTGGAGCAGGGAGACAGCCTTGCAATGGGATGCTTAGAGGACTCTTCTTCCTCCAGGACTTTGGAAGGATTATAAGGTCATCCCTGCCATAAGCCCAGCACATATCCTTGCCTTTGCCTGCCTTCCCTTTCCCCCCTCCCAGTGTCTTGCAGCTCCCCACCAGAGGTGACCAATGCCCGCATGTTCGGCAAACCAAAGCAACGCTATGAAATCAGCTCCATCATGCGGTACCGGTGCCTGGAGGGCTTCACCCAGCGCCACTCACCCATTATCCGGTGCCAGGAGGAGGGGATGTGGGAGCAGCCCCAGCTTGCTTGCCTGCTGAGTGAGTGCCTGCACCACAGGGTTAAATCCCTGCAGTTTTCACACACCTGTGAATTGGGATGAAAAGTGGCATTTTGGGGTTGAAAAAAGCATTCTGCTGAAAAGCTGAGGGTGGATTAACCCCTGACTCCAACTCCCAAAGGGGAGTGATGGATTTTCCATCAGTCCAAATCTCTGCCTGTGAGTCTGGAGAAGATGAGACAGAGGCGGGGATTTGATCACAGTCTTCAAGCACCTGAAGGGCAGTGACATAGAAGATGGAGACGGACCATCCTCTGCAGCTACTGGGGCAGGAGCAATGGTCCAAATGAAAGCAGGGGAAAATGAAGCTGGGGATGAGAAAGGACTTTGTCACTCTGGGGCGGGGGTCAGGGTGTGCAGGGAGGTGGTGGATTCATACAGTCATAGAAAATGAGGGTGAGAAGGGACCTCAGGGGGTCACATCTAGTCCAAGCCCCTGGTCAAAGCAGGACCAGCCCCCAACTACATCATCCCAGCCAGGGTTTTGTTGAGCCAAGCCTTAAAAACCTCCAAGGATGGAGATTGCACCACCTCTCTGGAGAACCTGTTCCAGTGCTTCACCACCCTCCTAGTGAGAAAGTTTTTCCTAAGACCCAGCCTCATCTTCCCTTGCTGCAGCTTGAGCCCATTGCTCCTTGCTCTGTCATCTGCCACCGCTGAGAACAGTCCAGCTCCATCCTCTTTGCAACCCCCCTGCAGAGAATTGAAGGCTACTATTAAATCTCCTCCCAGTCTTCTCTTCTCTAGACTAAATAAGTCCAGGTCCCTCAGCCCCTCCTCAGAAGTCCTGTCCCCCAGACTCCCAACCACTTTTGTTGCCCTCCGCTGGACTCTCCAACTTGTCCGCATCGTTTCTGTAGTGGGGGGCCCAAAACTGGATACAGGACTCCAAATGTGGCCTCCCCAGTGCTGAATAGAGGGGAAGAATCACTTCCCTCCATCTGCTGGCAGCACTTCTACTAATGCAACCCGGGATGCCATTAGCCTTCTTGGAAACCAGGACACACTGTTGAAATCTCAAACCCTGGAAGTTTTCAAGAGCAGATGAGACGGACACTAGACTGGGATGGTTTAGTCAAAGATGATCCTGCCTTGAGTAAGGGGCTGAAAGAGCGGGAGCCCCCTGAGGGCCATGCTTCTGGCAGATCCATTCCTCCCAACAGAAGTTACTAGGCTCAATACAGGAATAACACGGTGTAATTCTGTGCCCTAGACTAGAGGATTTAATGGTTCTTCTAGCCTTATAATACACCTAACAATGCCAGCACCAGGAGTGATGTCTGACCCACATTTTCCTTCCTTGTCTCTCTCTCCAGGTGTGACTCAAACCCCTGAGGACTGAGCCTGGATGCAGGAGGGAAGACCTCACTTCCCGGGGCATTGTCACTGGAGCTGGTTGCAAACCATGCGGGGATGGCTTCAGCCCCGCAGCCTGGGCACCAGCCCACACCGCAGCGATGCCTTCCACCCCCTGTGCGTTTGGTTGATATCTGTATAAAGAAAAAAGCCTAGTAACTAAAGATTCCCTTTTAAAAAAAAAGAAAAAAAATCAACAGCAACATAAAACGTAGCTTTTCACTTTGCGCAAAGAGTATTGTGCCTTCCAAACTGTAATGGCTGCTGGAGACGAGGACGGTGCAAGCTCCGACCCCTGAACAGAGCTGCGTGATGGTGTACGGAGTCCCTCTCATCAGCCAGCGGACGTATGCACTTCTTCATACCTTGGCATTCAGCTCCTCGAGTCTTCAGTTGGTTGGAACTGATTTGGCTCTGTAGAAAAATAAATCACACTTCCCATATAAATATGGGCCCAGTGTAGAAGTAAGCCAAGGGAAGGGGTATTCCCAACACCCCCACCCCCCACCCCACCCCATGCTGGAGGTGCAAAGCAGGGACAGTGCTGGACACTGAGGTCAGCTCTTCACCAGCTGGAGATGCTCAGCGTGTCTTTCCCATGCCTAATGAGACCCCTTTACACTTCCAGAGCATCCTAGAGGGCACTGAGCTTCATCAAAACCCACTTCACAGGCGGAAAGGAAGGGAAAGCATATGCCTGGCATAGCGAGGCCAGCCAAACCTCTGGGGCCCATGCAGCCAGCAGCAAGGGATGGACTAGGTGACTTCTCAAGGCCCCTTCCAGCCCTGTTTTCTCAGGGTTGGCATTGCTCATGCCAGCCAGAGACTTAGAAAGCTCCATCGCTCAGCTTCTACCAGTGCAGGCCACATCTCTGCTAGGCAGCTTCCCCAATAGATGCTCGGTAGGACAGACGCACCTACCCCATTGCTCTCTGAGTAGGGGTAGGTAGGTCAAGAGATGGTCAAGGGCCAGCCCAGATGAGGCACCTCAGTTCCAGTAGCCAACAACCCAGAAGGGAGGGGCATGGCTAGCATCTGGTCCAGATGATGGGGACTGCCCCCTCCATCACAGCCAGGTCCAAAAACCCCCATTCCTCCACCCCTTGTTCAAAGTGAATTACTTTTTTTTTTACGCTGTTGCTGATATTAAAACAAATAAACCGATGGAGAAGACCGTGGTTTGCTTTGTTTCAGAGCAGAGGTGAAAGCCTCTCTGTTTCCGTTTCCAGCCTCCTGGCTGTGTCTCAGAGGCAGGGCAGAGTGTTCGGGCCCGTCCCACCTGAACCCTTCAGCCAGGCTGCTGGGAATTTGGGGAGATCACCCGAAACTGCAGCACTGGGCTCCCTGAAAATGGGAACGGTGAGAGCATGCCACAGACAGGGGGCCCCCCCCCCCCCCGACCCCGAGGGCTGGCCAGGGGTTGTATTCTATTCATATTAATATAATAATATATTAATTCAAATAGAACGTATTCGTATATATTAATATATAACAATATTCTAATAATATTAATGCTTATTACAATATGACTGTTTCTTGCTTCATTATTTTATAACCAAAAAGTATTGTGTACGACACATTTGACAGCTCAAAAGTGGCCCCTGCTATAAATTAGTAGTAGAAGGTCATGCGGGTAGTATGGTGATGAGGTGCCCTCTAGCCTCTTTTACTTATAAAAGCACATTGATGAATTGTGAGTGTTAAACCTGTAATGTGCAAAATAGTTGCGGGAATCATCGTGATACATTGCGGGATGAAACCCCTCCCCAAAGAATATATCGATCTAGACAAGGTCATGAACATGTACAAGTGCCCGGCGGTGCTAGGCACTGGGTAAGCAGAGAACAAGACAGTGGGTCTCGGCCCTGAGACACTTACGGTCCCGGTAGGAGACAGGTGGGAGGGGTGGTATTTGCAGTATTGCTTTGAATGGGGAAGATGCTTTGTAAAGCCAAACACAAGAAGCAGAGCTGGGGGGCATCATACGGACTAACTGGTTCAGAGGGGCATGAGCTTTTGCAGACAACAACCTACTTCATCAGCTGCTTTGGAAGTGCCCTTAACTGCTTTAACCATGCAGCAAGGCCTTACCTGGTCCGCCGCCAGCTTCAGTTGCTGCCTCAGTGTCTTCCTTGGGGTATCTCCAAACCAGCACCTAGTTCCTGCAGGACGGGGATGCTGATGTCTGAGCAGCCCCAGCTGCCCACACAGAGCCTCAGACAGAGCGGGGACAGGCGGGAGGGCAAGACGCACCCTGGGCCTTCAAGAGCCCAGCTCCCATAGACAGGATGCTTTATTTTGGAAATTAAACTCTCTGAGCCCACATGGATTCCTTAGCTTTGGAGGGAAAATTTTCACTGGGAAATGATGTGGAAATGCATGTTTTTCTCTCCTCCCTTTCTCCACCTCCTGGTAAAAGCCAGGGGCAGGGAGGGAAGAATAAAGAGCAATTAGAAGTGAGGGAAAGTGACACTTAAAACCAAGACTCTACAACTCTTGGTTCAGAGATGATACCTTTTATTAGACCAACTAAGACATTGCAAAAAAATGATCTTTTTCTGCAAGCTTTTGGGCTCACATGCCCTTCATGAGCCCGAAAACTTTCAGAAAAAGATCATTTTTTGCGATGTCTTAGTTGGTCTAATAAAAGGTATCATCTCTGAACCAAGAGTACTAGAGTTTTGCATTTCTTTCTGTTTCAGACCAACACGGCTACCAAATACATCCCTGTACCCCTTAAAAGCAATACACTCCTGTTCTCTGCACTAGTGCCAAGGGTTGAGCAGGCACAGCTAGGTCAGCAGTGCCTCCCAGTGGAGACACCCACTAGGGACAGAAATTACACATAAACCAGTATAAGTAACTGGAAACAGGTTCAAATCTGTAACACAACAGGGGTAGGGACAGAAATTACACATACAAGGTTTAAGTCATCAGAAACTGGTTTAAACCTGTAACAGAACAGAAGTTCAGTGCACATAAACCCGTTTCAAAATGACTGAAACTGGTTTAAAACATACCTGGCTGAATGTAGCACCAGACTTAACTGATTTGAGTCAAACCAGTTTATGAAACTTCTGTCCCTGACCCAAAAGTTCAGTACAGATAAACCACTTTCAAAATGGCCAAAACTGGTTTAAGCCAGAGACTCCCAAACTCTGAAAATTGCGCACCACCAATTTAAAACAATACAACCTTAAGTACCACCAGCAAATTTGTGTCATATAAAGTAATTATAATAAATCTGTTAATGCGTACCACTGACAGGTTGTCTGTGTACCACTGGTGATACGTGCACCACAGATTGGGAACCGCTGGTTTAAACCAAACCTGGATGGATGCAGTATCAGACTTAACTGATTTAGATTAAATCGGTTTATTGAACTTCTGTCCTAGATCCCCGTGTCACCACAAAGAGCAGAGCTAAACGCCTTCCCGACAAACTCACCTGGCTACAAATCTCTCGGCCATGCCCACATCCAGGCCAGATACAGACATTGCGCATAAACTGGTCTAAGTGATCAGAAACTAATCTAAATCTGTAACCATACAGAAGTATGGCATGCATAGATGGGTCTAAAATGGTGGAACCAGGTTTAAGATAGACCTGGTTTGATGTTCACTCAAATCTAATTGATTTAGGTTACACTAGTGAATCGAACTTCTGTCCCAGATCCAAGAGTTTTCGTGGCATCATGAGCTCAGCAGCAAATTGTGGTTTTTATCCCAACATGCTCCTAGCTGACAGCTCCATCAGAAAAACTTTCCAGCTCTAGAAAGGCAGGGGTTGTGGGTAACAGCTGTAGGAGTACTGGGTTCTGTACGGTCACGGGTTTCCTGTAGGACCTGGGTTGAGCTACTTGATTTAACAGAGCCTGCTCAGTAATGTGGGAATACGCAGACACCCCGTTTGTCCTTTTGATTTCCAGCAGCACGTGTTTGTGCAGCACCCAGCCCCAGGGAGCCCCGCGGTCTGTCTGTGCAACCAGCTGCTATTGCAATAGTGCTAAGGGTTCAAGGGAAGGAAGCATTTGGGGTAGGACTTTCAGCAAGCTCAGAATGGCTGTTCTGGGATCTTTTGCTTTGCCAGCTGCTGGCGAGAGATCGAACCAGCATGTCTGATCCTCGGAGAGGTTTGAATCAGGGAAAACTCTGGATCCATGCAGCTATTTCTTCTAATGCTGCAAACCCAGCCTTGGATTCCACCCAGACATTGGATGTAAATGCACAGCCGGGGAAGACGCATGCTTGTTCCACTGCTGGCATACAGGAAAGGTCACCCATCATTTAGGAGCGCTGCGGCTGAAGCCTGAGCAGCCAAATGTCCTCTGAACTCTGCCGGTTTTGGGTTTAAAATCTAGCATCAGCTCAAGGAAGATCAGGTTACATCTCCAGGCAAGTAAAAAGCACAGAGAGGAGGGAAAAAAGGTGCTATTTTGGGGGCAGATTTACCATCATTTTATTAAATTACAAGGACAAATTCAATTAGTCAAACTCGTTAATTTGTAACATTTGCATGCTCAAAAAAAACCAAACAACCAAATTCAGGGCAAAGTGGCCCTGGGCCCCCAAACTGAGGGGTGAAATTCAGGCCAGATTCCCAGCAGTGGAGACCAGACTTTCTTCCCGGAGCAAGGCAGAGAGTCCGTGGACCCTGGCCACAGGAGTGGAGGGGAGTCATCTGTGTCCTGCTAAAATGGATGCCTATGAACCAGTGCAAGTGAACCGCAAACTGAATGGAGACCCACTGGGACAGAGAAGTACGTATGCAAGATGCACATCTCATGCCCTGGGTGGGTAGCCAGGCATGAAGGGCAGAGACCCCCCTGCTGCATGTCCTGTCGTCCCCTCCCTCAACCCCTACTTCACCGAGTAGCAGTAGGTCCCATACGTCCTCTGTTCCTTGTTGGGGAAACCAAAGCTCCGGACGCCGGGGTCTGGGAGGCCCCCACAGCGGGCCCGGGGGATGGTGATGGGATAGCGCACGCTGCCGTCCGCCAGCCAGCCCCCATCACAGCGGTCCAGCTGCGAGAACTTCCACGCTGAGTAGAGCTGCCCGACCTTGGCGATGGTGGCGCCGTGATTGCGGCAGGCTTGCCCGGCCTCCTTGAAGTTGAGGTGGCCACGGATGAAGTAGACCCGGCCTGGGGGATGAGAGGAGGGATGGGACAGTGGGCGTCAGGGCTAGAGGGCACGAGGACAGGATGCTACAGATCAGCCGCCGGGTGCCAAAAAAGGGGTGTCCTCGTGGTGCTTCGGACCTGGCTTGGAAACCAGCAGGCTCATCCCAGCTCTCGAAGGGGGTGGCACTGGCACCACTGAACAGGGAGCAGAAGGAGGGGGTGGTGGATGCCACCCCCTCCTTCTGCCAGCTCAGAATGGGACAAGGCACTCAAAGGGAGACCAAAGGACGAAGCCGACACAGCACAGACGTAGACTAGAAGATGAAGCTGACCTAAACCAGGGGGTGGCAATAGCCAGCTCCACCAAGCAACACAACACCTGGCTACATGGACCTCCACACAGGCCAGCCCAGATTAGCCATTGCTCCTCCCTCCCTGTGTTCAACCTGGACGCACCTTTCATGGCGGAGGTGAAGCAGAACGCATCGAACCGGTCCTTCTGCTTGTCCTTGGCCCCATAGGTCCGGACGCCCGGGAGGAGGAGGCGTCCCCCACAAGGCTCACGGGAGTTGATGATGGGGTAGTGGACTGTGCCATCGAGAATCCACCCTGCATTGCACCAGTCCAGCCCTTCGGTCCAAGCTGTGGATCCAGCCAGTAAGAGAGGGCAGAAAAGGTCAGTACAAGGGAAGCTGGGGCATTGCTACCCATCCTACCGCAGGGGAGAGGCAGCTCCAGGTGAGCTGGCACCTTAAATACAAAGTGGGATTGGGTCCCTGTTACCAGGCATCTTGCATGGTGCAAAGGGGATGCTGCTTTCAGCTCCCAGAGGCAGCATGGGCTAAGGGTTAGAGAAATGAGCGGGGCATAAGGACTCCTGGGTTCTACACCCAGCTCTGCGAGGGACTGCAACACAGTGGGAAGAGCAGAGTGGGGATTGGGAGATATAAGCCCTGGTTATAAACCCACCCACATGATTTACCGTTGCCCTACAGGCTTACCAGAGGCTTGCAAAGCCCCTCTAGGAACCACTGCGTTAATTAACACAGAAGAAATGATGCCATAGAATGACTCAAACAAGGTAAGAGAAAGCATTGAGACAGTCAAAACACATGAAAAAAGGACATAAGACCTTTTTTAAAAAAAAAAAAAGTTGGTTTAATTTTTTCAACATTTTGAGGGATTTTTATCCATCTTTTTGGTAAAATAAAGTGCATTTGTCATCAAATCCGGAAAATGTGGTAATGACAGCAGATGGATTAGTCTGTTGATGCCATTTGATGCTTTTTTTTCAGTTTAAAAAAAGACCAATTTGGGGCTTTTTCATGTTGTGGGGGGAAAAATGGAAAATACCAAATTCAATGATAATATTGGGGGGGGAAACATCCATTTAATAAAAGCATAACTACGTTTTGGGGGGAAAAATCAGTAATAATCTCCGTCAACATTTCAGACAACCCTCCCCCAAGAGAACAGGTCTGACTTAAAAGAAAAAGGGAGCTGTATTGGAAACTAGTGGGATATTTTATGTAGGTGGAAGCCAACAAATCAGCCCCACACCCTCCCCAAGTGCCACCCCGATCCCCTGCCCCTGCCTGATCTGCTGCTCTTCTTTCTGCTCCCAACCCGATCTGCTGCTCTGCTGTTTGCTCCCTTTCCTGCAATGCGCAATGTGTACAAGTGCCCTTCTTGCCTGTTCTGCTACGTTCTTTCTGCTCCCCCCCACATCTGTTTCAGCAAATTGCTCATTTAACAGCTGTTCTAGAGCCGCAGGCCCAAGCGGGGCAGTTGGTGGGGCGTGCGCGGGGTGGGATTGAGAGGACAGCGAGCTGAGAAGAAGCCGCCATCACCTTTGTACAGCTGCTGGTAGGTTGCCAGCCGGGAGTCCTGCTCCTCACATGCCCGCTTGGCCTCGAAGTAGTTGAACTTGTAGCGCCCGTTGCCCGTCTGGTAGGGGAAGACGACACCTGGGGAGTTAGGGGGAGAGGGTGTGAAAGGCATGCTGGGCCTTGTGTTCCCCAAAGAGCCTGTGGGCTGAGAAGACAGCCAGAAGGGAAACCGAGGCACAGAACGGGGATGTGACTTGCCCCAGGGCAAATAGCAAGCAGCATCTGGGCCCGCCTATCTTGATTGAGAGGGATGCATGGCCTCCTACAAGGGAAAGGACCAGCTGTCCCCACCATCAAGCCCCCAGGGTGCCGTGCTCCTCACCCTCCAGCTGCAGACTCAGGGAGAGGCTCTCGTCCTCCAAGCCATTGACAAGCTGGCAGCGGTAGCGCCCCTCGTCCTCCAGCGCCACGTTGGTGATGGTGAGGGAGGCATCGAGGCGGTGGCCACGGCGCAGGCGAGCCCGGGCGCCCAGGTGCCCATAGTTCTTGTGCTGAGCCCCATTGGTGATGAGGACGATGTTCTCCAGGAAGTTGGCCGGCTCCACCTTGCTCCACTTCACCTTGTAGCTGGTGGGCAGGGAGCGCAGCACGCAGGGCAGGGTGACCGTGGCACCGCGCTGGGTGTGGACCACCTCGTGCAGCGGTTCCAGCAGGTACTGCAGGCGCGGGGCAGCCGCTGCAAGGGCACACGGGCTGTGAGCACCACCCCGGGGCACCCCTGGAAGCATCCCTCAATCCTGCTCTTTCCATCCCATCCTGCTCAGGCACTGCTCGGAGGATGCCCAGCAATCCTCACCCTAGATCCCAGACACCTCCCAGCCCCTTCCCTTTCCTGACTCCCACCATCCCCTTTTCTTCCAGCCTTGTCTCTCTTCACTGATGCCTCTCAAATCCCAGCCTGCCCAGGCCTCCCAGACTTTCAACAGGCCTCTTGCTCTTCCAGCCATTCCCCTGTTGTCAACAGGGTCTGTCTACTTTTGACTTGAAAGAAAAAGAGGGCTGTATTTGAAAATGGTGGGATGTTTTAGATCGGTGGGAGCCAATAAGGCTAGGTACAGAAATGACACATAAACCAGCATCAGTGACTGGAAACCAGTTCATATCTGTAACACAACAGAAGTTCAGTCCAGATAACTGCTTTCAAAAAAATGGCCAAAATTGGTTTAAGCTAAACCTGAAGGGATGCGGTGTCAGACTTAACGGATTTAAGTTAAATCAGTTTACTGAACTTCTGTCTCGTATCCAAAGGGCTGCCCTTGGGCACAAACTGCAGCTGACCCCCCATGTCATTAAACAGCAACAAGCTGGGATGGAAACAGCCCCCCAGTTCCTCCATCTCCAACAGGCAAATCCAGCTCCGAGGCAGCTACACACACACGCATGCATGCACGCACGCACCTGGATTCCCAGTTGCCTTCTGGTAAATGGTGAAGGCAGCAGGCAGGGAGGAGAGATAGGCAGAAGCCAGCAGCAAAAGCTGGTGCATAGTGAATCAGGAGCCCAGGAGCTTGCCTAAGAGAGAGCAAGGGGGTTATTTCGATCATGTGCACGGCAGGCAACCCCCCGCGTTCGGTCCTGATGGAGACTGCTCTGTGGTTCGTTTTGTGGTGGTGTCCTTTCCATCCCCGGCCAGGGATCCCTTCAGAGTTTATTCAACTCTGGGAGGCTTGGCCAGGCACCAGGACCATCATAACAACAGCATGCAGCCTCCTCATACAGCCCCTGGTGCCAGCGCCAAACAAGGCGCAGTCTCTTACGGTCCAAGTCAGCACGAGTTGGGAGAGGAAACTAATGCTCCTAGGCTGCACCTGGGTCACAGAGCTGGGAATGGAAAACCCCTCTCCAAGAACCTAGCTCTGGCCTCTACCCACTGCCCCAGGCTGCCTCTTGCCCCTAAAAGCCTCCATGCCCAAGCAGAGCCCTCCACACTGCTGCCCCCTCCGTGACTAGACCCAGACCTATCATGCTGACAACCAAGTCCTCATCACCAACCAACCCACCACTCCCATCCAAACAGCACCAGTAAACCCAACCCATACTTCCCGAGCTGCCCTCCCCTATGCTGCCTGCTCCACAGCGCTGGACTCCAGGTGGCCCAGTGCCTGAGCCAGCCAGCCCAGCCCCATCTCCACCACAAACTGCCCTTTGTTGGGGGACAGAGGATGAAAACACCAAACCTGCTGCTCCGGGGATGCTGGATTCAGTGGCTGGGGTAGCTCCAGGCTCCCGTCATGGCGAGCAAGTGCATCGATTGGCATCGGGTGGCACAGGCTCCATGTCAGGCTGGCCCGCTCGGGGACAGGGAAGGAAACCAATCTCTGCTGGGGGAGGCTTTATCCTTTGTCCTGAACAGCCTCCTGGCCCCCGGTGGACTGCAACTCCTCCCGGCTCTGGCTCCCGCCCTCCACGGCAAGCCCAGTAAACAGTTTGTGCGCCTGCCTTTCCCTTTCTCTCTCTTTTTTTTTTATATAACCTCCCCCCGAATGCACGAGAAAGAAGGAAGCACAATTTCCCATTGTGAGCATCTTTCCCTGTATTGTTCTGCTGGGCAAAACAGGGCGGCCCTGGCTAACAAGCCCGTCTTTATTCGCAGCCACAGAGGTCGGGAATTCAGAGAAAATGTCAACACCATTCCGACATGGGCCACTAGCATTTCCCTCGGGCCACGGTCGCGGGGCTGATCCGCCACCCTGGAAAAGGTCCCCCCTTGGCTTTTCTGGGAACCAAAGGGCACTGACCAAGGTGCTTCTGTTTGCTTTAAGGAACAGGGATTCTCCCACAATGCACCAGGCCAGCCGTACTCTGATGGTTGCAATAAAGGAGGAGCCCGCTGCATGGCCTGACAGCTATTGCCATCGGCTGAGCAACCCCGAAAGGTTATTATTGCTCCTTGCTGCCTATTATTCCATCCCCAGACACCAGACCATGGCAGGCTAGTGGCATCAGCTTGACACGCTACCTTGCCCCCAGCTCCAGTTGGGAAAGTGTTAGTGGCTTTGGGCAAGTTGCTGGCATGGGTAATGTGCCCTCCCAACTGCAGAGAAGGGCAGCGAGCGCTGGGCTGTGGGAGGAGAGGACCCATCTCATTGCAAAGGTGCAATGTAGCTGCATCAGAGTGCCTGGAGAGTGCGAGACACCTGCCAGAGGTGCAAGGCCTCAGGTGATGGAAACAAAAATCGACCCATCCATTTCAAAGCCCATTTCTACCCAGCTGAGAGTCTGACCCCCTAAGCAAGAGCTAAGGACACATTATTGCTGCTCCTCCCGGGGCTCTCCAGCATCATGGCAAGACTCTGTGCTATTTTTGCAGTGAGCCCCATGCTATTCTTAGACAGGGCAGGGAGGGGCTTTTTCCAGCTGCCAGAAGCCAACTGAGTCAAGGGAGCTGCCAACAGACAATGAAGGACATGTCTGTTGTATCCTAGGAGAAGCCCAACTGGCCTCTTCTTGGCAAAAGAGCCACTGGAGGCTTTCCAGGACAAGGGCATCAGCATGGACAAGAAGGCATGGACTGGGCAGGGCTGGATTCAAACCCTCAGCTCTGCCACTGACTTTCTGCAGGACCTTGGGCATGTCCTAGTGTTCCTCTCTGTCCCCAGTCTGGAAGCCTGGGCCTGGCTCCTTGTCCTGGGACCTTCTGAGCATCTGGGAACTACTTGCTTGCCTGTCATTGCAGTGTCTGGCAGTACTTGTCTCCCTGGGTTTTACCTGCAGCATTAGATAGGGCATTCACTGGATAATTCCCCTTGCAGCTGTGTGCAAGGGTCTGCATTGATCTGGGGGATCCCTTCAGGTAAGTGGAGGGCTTGCCAATGCCAGAGACCACAACTCATGGTACATGGGGCAGTGGGAGATGCTCTCCATGGTCCATCAAGGCTCACTCACCTGTCTCCAGGTACTGGCCCATTGAAGAGCTGGGCCTTAATCCAGCCCCGGGAGCAGGGTCAAGCAGAGCAAGCCTCTCTGCTCTGCCTCATTTTGCCTAAGGCCTGATCCTGAAGCCATTGCACTCAGTAGAAAGGCTTCCCCGGGCTGTGATTCGGGCCCTCGGTCCAGATGTACCCTGCTCTCGTCCTCCTCACGCGGCTGGGGACGAGGGTGAGCTTCTGCCTGTCAAAGGAGATGCAGAGAAAACAAAAGGAGACACAATGAGACTGTGTTCTGGAGCCCGGTCGCAGTCAGGCCTTCTCTCCCCTCCTCCCCCCATGCCCCGAAGATGCATCTCAAGGGACGGAGGAGGAGACGCAGCTCGGACGAGACACAAGACAAGCAGCAGTTTGTCTCTGGCAGCGAAGGACACCGTGATCCCAGCCTCGCTGTGACATGCAGAAAACAACCTCCCCTCCCCAGTGGAAAACAAGGCTCCGGGCCCAATCCTCAGTTGCCATCAGGCCCCTTTACGCCACTCAGTTATGCTTGCTGCTGCTCCGCATGGCGGCTCTGGGCAGAAGAACTGGTGCCTAAACCCCTGCAGTGGAGTTTTTATTGGGCAAAAATGCTGACGATAGGCATTTTCCTCCTCAAAATCCTGAGTAGCAATAAAACAGCTGAGACACCCCCAGCTTCTCCAATCACAGCCAAATCATCAAGCCTTAAACCCAGGCTAAACTCCAAATCACTCCCTGCAATAGCTTCGTTTCCGTGGGCTCTCAGCTGGGATAAATCGATACAGCTCTGCTGACTTCCAAGCATCAGACATTGGCACTTGTGAGGATCTGGTCCCGTATGGAAAAACCCATTTCTAACCCCCTGCCCTGTTCAAACTGAGCCATGAATACAAGGCAGGGGCTTGATTTCTCAGAGAGACCCTCGGCAGCCAGTGAGATTCCTGGCCCACATTAGTAACTGGTTTCATTGAGTTGAGCTCCATTGACTTTAATGGCACCATCCAGAATTACATCCTGGGAATATCCATCCTGACACCCAAGAAGGCAAGCTATAAAAACGGAGAGCGTCCAATTCTCATTTATGCTAAAGGTCCCTTTGCACCACTCTAGCAGCATAAAGGCATTCAAAATGGAAAAGAAATGCAATTTATGACTGCACTGAATCCCCTTTGCAAAAGGGCATTGTACTTATGAACAGGGTCAAGGTTTGCTTTGGATAACAGTCCCTTCTAGAGTATCCCCTCATTAAAGGACCCCCAGTTTGCTGATTGCATAATGTGCCACTTGCCGTACAAAAGAATAAATAAAGAGCTGAAGAATAAAAGATAAATAGATTGAAATCTTAGACCTAATGATTAACCAGGTAGTTGCTTTAAGGGCAACTGTAGGGATAAGGAAGCAGATTCTCAGGTATACTCAGGGCCCCATACGCCATTCTGGGCTGCACAAACCAGCCTGGGCACAGATGAGAACCTGGCACAATATGAGCAAGGTCAGGAACACACGTGCATGTAACTGAGGCCCTTGCCCAGCCTGCATGCTGCTGCAGGGCAAACTCATCCTTAATAATTAACATCCTGGTGGATATTTGGTGTTAAAGGGTGTTTGATTGGTTTAGTTTCTGAGAGGCAGGTTTATTTTGGCTTGGGGGTTGGAAGAAATGAGTATCAGTGGGTTAAACATGGCACTAGCATAAACATTGTTCTAGCCCCTTCAGTGAAGACATGCTGATGTATACCCCTTTGATGCCAGCCTAGGACTTGCAGTAAACTAAGAGCAAGGGGGCTGATTTTCACAGTATAAACCAGGAACAATGTAACTGGTGTGAAACCAAATCTCAGTAGGAAAGGAACACAGGAGCAATGAAAGGAATAAGAATCCCAAGCCTCTTCCAGGAAGTACTCTGCCCAAGAAACACACCCTCTCTTTCTCTCCTCTCTGCATGGGTTTCTTTGATGCAGCTCTCTGCTTCTCTTTTATACAAAAACACATGCATGTGAGCACACACAAATACATTTCTGCTTAAGCAATACCAGTAAAACCCCTCTATCGACATGTGCCTTTGCTTTGGATGGTGACATATGTCCGCGGTCTGGGTGGAGGCTGATATTTTTTTTCACCAATCTGGTGGCAGACAGGAACATAATTGTTCTGTACACTTCACTTGAATAAAGGCAGCTCTTACACACCCACGCAGGGGGATGGGGTGGGGGGAGGATGAGGCTATAAAACCCATGACAATCCCCCTGCGAGCCAGATTTTTCACGCACAGCAGCCAACCTAAAATAAATGCCGTTTTCACCATGACCCCAGATTGAGACTGGTCGAACTGAGCTCATCATCTGGCCTGTTGCCTTTGACAGAGTTACTCCATTTACTTTCCAAATGGATGCTTTATGTTAGACAGCCAGCTCATCTCTGATGCTCTTCCTTTCTGATTTCACACCATCTCTGCATGCAAAAAACCCCACAAAAAACACCTCTCACCAAAAAGCAGAAGCAAGGGGGGTGGGGAGTGGAAATTGCACTGAATTTCTTCCACGCCCACTGACTGGCCACAAAAACGTGTGAACAAAGAACAGCCAATTTAGAAACAGCACATGCTGATCCAACTTCTCACCCATATCAGAAACTAAATTTGTTCCCAGGTAATTTAAAATCCACTTCATCTCATCTCAGAACTAATCCAAAGCACCCGATCCATTCCTAGACCAAATAAATAAAGAAAAATCCCAGCTTTAAAAGGGAGGAAGGGTTGAGTAGTGTGAGCAATTTAATAGTGAAGGCGTTAGACATATTGGGCATGTTTACACATGCATTAATGTGCCTTTTGTAATGCGCATTCAATTTAGTACCTCCAATGTGAGGTACTAAATTAATGCACATTAGGCAGCACTAATGTGCAGTAGTGCATTTGCACACTTTCTGAAGAACAGCTTAATGCACAGTAGACCATTTTACTGAGCATTAGCGGAATGTCACGGTTTTTATGTGATGCTTTAATGCATAGTAAAATAATCTACTGTGCATTAAAATGCATGTGTAGATGCACCCACTAATGATCCCAAACCATAGATCACAAAACACAATCTTCACAGCATTAAAATTCCACTAAAAAAATCCCAGCAGGGAGGTTGTGGACTCTCCATCCTTGGATGATCTCCAACCCTGGCTGGGATGATCTAACCGAGGCTGGTCCTGCTTTGAGCAGGGGTTGGACTAGATGTGACCTCCTGAGGTCCCTCCAACCCTCATTTTCCAGGATACAGTGAAATGCATAGTTAAAACATCTAAACAACCTTAACTTTGCCCTTCAGTGAAGTCCTGTAATAAGCATAGGATGTTTATTCCAGCATTATAAATACTTGAGGTTCTTTGTGGATAAACCTGATTTTTAAAGACATATTTGTTTTTATCCCCCTTATTTCATTCCCCTCCTCTATGACTTACATGTACCTTTCTAGTAACCCATCAAGAAGAACTCAGAGTATAGGTCACTAATGTCCCTTAGGTCACTGAGTCACTACAGCCAAGAAATATAACAAGCAAATGATGGTGATTGGCTCAATTGCCACTTGTGTCACAAAAGCTCTCCTGGAAAGTTACTAAACTGTTGACCTGACCCATGCCTGTAGCTAGCATAACAATTAGAGGCAATCATTCAGGTCAATTATAAATTAATTATTCACGTCACTCAATTAATTTCCTCAAGTGCCTGCGTTATTCTTTTTGTTAATGTCATCTGGGACAAAATAAAGATTGATCCAGATGCTAAGCTGCTTAAAGGGCCACATTTTTGGCAATTAAATTAATGGATGCATTTGTAAATTCTCGGAAAATTAATTCTTTACTCCAGGAAAAGTGCTGTCCATTTGGGCTATACCTGTCATGCAAATCAATTAGGTTTAATCACTGTAATAAGGGCAAAACTCAACATTAATTGTGCTGTCACAACCTACAGCTACATAAAAACCTAATAGACTCTACCACTAATATATAACCTATAACCTAATCCATATAATCTATTATCTATTCCTGGCATCATTTGTCCTAAGAAGGAATGAACGCTTGGTGAATACTACTAGGGACCACCCCTTCTCAAATCTAACCAAGAATCTAAAATCCATCTGAGATCATCAAATTTCATCTTTAATTCATCACCTTCTTTCATTTCTAATTCACTCCAATTAATTCAATATAACGTCATGCATTCTCCAAGCCAATCTGACTGCTCTGCTCCTGCTCCAGTCCACCCAGTCGAATCTAGAACTGACACGGCACAGTCTGGAGGTATGCGACTCCCAGCACACAAAACTTCCCTGAACTCACTCATCCGACAGGGATCGCAGCTGAATGAATGGCAGCTAGAATGGGATGCAACGGGCTGGATTTTCAGTGGGCTTCCATCACAACAGCTGCACGGGCAGGACAATGCACACCCATGAGTCAAGGCACTGGCCTAGAGGTGAACCCTTCTGGTTGCGTAGGCACACTGTACGTGCCACAGCAGACAGCCCCTTGCAAAACATGAAGCAATTCAAACATGAGTAAATAGTTTTTCATCCCCAGGACTCATGCCCTGTCTCAGTGGGTGGGAACCAGCCTGGGACTCACCCACTGGAAGGTGGGGCTTGCTGTGTGTACTTAACCACCGTCTCGGGGCTGGGACAGGCGTTCCACCTGCTGCTGGCCAGGTTTCACTTTCGTCTCTCCCTCCCTGGAGCAGCATGCCCAGCCACGCCACTAATTTAAGGCTGAAGCTGCCAGCAACATGCTTCCTCCTCGAGATCCTCACCATCCTCCTCTTCGCCGTCTTCGTGCGTTACGACCGGGAGGCCAGTGCCAGCCAGTGGCACCAGGAACTAAATCATCGCAACACCAGCCACCTGGACAATGACTTTTACTTTCGCTACCCAAGTGAGTACAGAGCTCCTTCCCCTTGCCGAATCCTTTCTGGGCTGGCACGAGTGCCATCTCTCACCCATGTTCAAATGCTGCAATGGAGGCAGGGGTCAAGTAGGGATCAAGCAGGGATCCGCTGCAATAGGGGAAACTTTGTCCTCAGTCCCTAATGCTGAGTCACTCAAATCCCAGACGAGCCCCTGTGGATGTCACCATCTTAGCTGCCCAAATTAAAACATGGTCACGTTAAACATAGCTGGGGGGCTGCTTCATTCACAGCGTGCCCGCCTCTAGGGCTTTATATGCTGCTACAGGGGCCAAATACCATCCCTGCAAAATGGTAGCTGGTGGTCACAGATGACAGAACAAGGAGAAGTGGTCTCAAGTTGCAGCAAGGGAAGTTTAGGTTGGATATTAAGAAAAATTTTCTCACTAGTATGGTAGTAAAGCACTGGAACAGGTGTCCCAGAGAGTGGCATCTCCATCCCTGGAGGTTTTGAAGACCCGGCTAGATAAAGCCTTGGCTAGGACGATCTAGTTGGGGCTGGTCTGGCTTGGAGCAGGGGGTTGGACTAGATGTGACTTCCTGAGGTCCCTTCCCACCCTCATTGTCTGTGATTCTGTGAAAATCAAGTACAAGAGCACGTGTGCATGAGTGTGGCAGGTGGATACAGAGATGTGGGGAGACCTACACTGGTAGTTTATGGGAGCTGAGGGAAGAGTTAGCTCCACTTGGCTTAGTCTTACTATCAAGGCATGGACCTGGCTGGTGCAAATCCTTCCTCTCCTCTGTGATGCTGGACTGCTCAGCTCCTCTCCATGCCTTGGTTTTCAGTCTTCAGATCAGATCATCCTCTTCTGTCTAGTGCCATAGGGCCAAACGTATGCCAGAGAAATGGTCCCAGGCACTGCAGGCACCAGGCCTTGCCTATGGACTACACTGCAGAGCTATTGCTACCGAGTCAAAGCAGAGATACCAGGCTGCAAACGCAGGCCGGGACCTGCGTGTTAGCCCTGATCATACAAACGCTGCAGAAGCCCTGGGTCTTGGCTCTAGGATGCAGCAGAGCTTGCTCCCAGCCTGTTGGCTGGGTATATGTCATCTCTTGCCATAGCCCCTCACCAGGGCTGACAGTAGATAGCTGGATGGATCCCTGGCTGGTACACTGAAATAACTCATACCCGAAGGCAGATCCGGCACTGAGCACCATTCCTCCTGGGTTTATAGGGTCTGCCACACAGAGTGGTAACTTAGCTTGGAGAATCAGAGTGGAGACCCAGCTTTACCCACCTAGTCTATGACCTTGGACTAACCTCTGCCCTCCTAGACCTGTTCATTACTCTGGGAGATTGGGAATGCAGAGCTCATTCCTACTCCAAAGGGGCATCTTCCACACCCCAGAGGAGGGTGCATCTTGGCCCTCCCCTCTTCCTACCCCATGATAGAAGCCCGTCTGTCTTGACCCTACTAGCATTTCAACTCCAGCGGTGAGCAAGCCTTTTCCCTACAACATATCTCTTCCCAGAGCTTCTCTGGGGTAAGGGCAGCAGGAGCTCACTGGGTTTAAATGGGGTCCTGATCCTGGTTAGCAGCCAGTGGCTCAAGACCCAGTACTTGTGGTCACAGGTACCGTCGCTCTCCACAGACACACGTTTCTTCAGGGAAGCCAAACACAATGCAACAGCCTCGGTGCTGTTGTTCAGAGGCCAGAGCAAGCTGGGGATCACTTGGGGGCTCCTAGCAACCTGTGCTTAACCCAGCTGAGATCCATTACATCAGACCCCTCACCATCCCCACTGCATTGCAATGGCAATAGGGGTTGCAAGGTGGGAGCTAAAGGCAGGAGCAAACATCACACACTTTTGGACAGCTTCACTGTGGCCCTATATTGACCCAACCATGGATCAAGACTCCCCTGTGCTAGGTGTTGTACAGCACAGAACAGCAAGTCCTTCTGCCAGCACCTTACAGTCATCCTTTTCATAGGGGCATAAAGCCCCCTGCCTCGGAAGGTAGCCAAAGGCCTAAAACCATCCGACCCCAACCCTTCACCCCAAAACATGTCGCTGGGCCACATACCCTGCAAAGAGCCACAGGTAAAAAGCAGGGGACATGGAGGCACTGCCCATGCCCTGCCAAAGAGTCAGTGATTCCTCTATGCTCAGGGGACTCCAGGTGGAGACGCATGCCCACACTATACGGGAGAGCAGAGCTCCCCACCACCTTTGCCAGGCTGACCTGAAGGAGAAATTCCCACACAGTCAATCCCCTAGCACAGCATTAGAGGTTTGCAACGAACACCCTTGCAAATGAGCCTTGACCAACGGTGGGGATAAGAAATCCCGTGATAGCTGTCACAAGAGCTGGGATCGTGAACCCTGGTGAAATATTTACCCCTGGAACGGCAAAACACAGAGTAGGGCTGGGGTTGCCTTCGGAGAGCCAAATAGGGGCTTTGCACAGCTCACCTGAGCGTGTGGGTCAGCGGCGGCGCTTGCAAAACATGCTCTTTCTTGCCTTCGAGTGACAGCTGCAAATCTGAAAGGGGCAAAGATTGCAGAACTCGGAGCCTCTCTTGAGGTCAAGACACCCCAGGGGTGGGAGCTTGGCAGGGGAAAACCATACAGGTTCTCCCAGTTCCACCTGCCAAGGGCAACTCCACCCAGAGCTGAGACAGACAATGACTCACCCCCTCCTTCCTCTGCACCAGCCTGACCCACGGATTCCCCTCCAGGGACTGTGCAGATACAGGGAGGTCCTTCCTGGGCCCCGCTAGCAGCGTGCGTGAGCACCTTGCACATGAGAGCGCACCACTTCCCCCAGCTCCTGGGGCTCTGTGCTGTCCCATTGACCTGAATCACAGGCCTGTTTCTTGGACCCCTCTGGCAGCATGAAGAGGCCCTCAAAGCCAGGCCCTTTTGGCCCATTTCAAGGGCTGCAAGAGTAATCCCAGTATACGGAAATGGTGGGGTGTTTTCCCGCAATGAATGAATTCCCCAGGTGCTGGACAGCAGAGAACCAGCTCAAGCATGCAGCAGCATGGGCCTGAAGTCACAAGGAAGGGGAGAGCCAGACTCGGTCTGGGCTTGGCCCTACCTGAGACTGTCACAAGTGACAAAGTGTTGGCTGGAAGCAGAGAGGGGAAAGGGGGCTAGATAGTTGGCTGGAATAAGTGAGCATCAGTCGCCCGAGTGGAGCGTGGCTGGCTCGTACCTATAGATGAGCTCAGTGCCCAGCAAGCTGATTTAGCTTGGAGACAAGGAGGGAGCACAGGACCTGGCGGGAGGGGAGCGTGAGACCAGACAGGTAGCCCCTGCATGGACACTGCTCTCTTGCTTATTGCTTTTCCAGATACATATCCCACTGCCCCCCCACAGGCAGCAAACACCACCCCTATGCATGCCCCTCTAGGGTGGAGGGCCCCATTCTCATTACCCTGAGGGTCTCGTGCCCTAGGTTGATCTCAAAGCACTTCCCCTTCATACCACCTTCTGGCAGCTGTATCTTTAGGCCTCTCTCACTCCTTGCTTTCTCCATCCTCCTCCCCCTCCCCCTCCCCCCCTTTACAGGGCTGGAAAAACCCTTTTATTTTTAAACAGAAGCTGAGATTCTCACCCAGCACCTCAACTCCAGGAGCTGGGGCTTCATCAAGAACAGCAAAAACCCATGCACTGGAAATCGGGATAATACCATGTGCACTGAAATCGGGAGGAGAGCTCAGCAATGGCCTGCTTTGGCCAAGTGTTTGGAGATGCATGCATGCAAGGGACCGCACAAAGGCCTACGCACTGCTGGCCATGTTCCCATAATATTACCATGTCCGGGTCCAGGTGGAAATGCAGCTTTTACAAGCACAGTGTTAATAATTAGGCTTGCAACTCTATGGGGCAGCCTGAGCGATTCCAGAGTGCTTAGACAGGGCACTACCCAGTAGTGGCCTTAGGAGAGGGCAAACTAACTGGGTGACTGCCACACTTCAGGGGGCCCCAAAATTTGCAACACATTTTTTGGGGAATGAAGTTTTTGCAAGGAAGTGGCTCTATTTGCATTTTAACACTTGACTATTTATTTAATTCCCCCTCTTTCTTTCTTCAACTTACTAAAAACATTGTTCTTTCTTCAACTTATGCCTTGAAGGGGCCCCAAATGACTCTCTTGCCCAGGGCCCCAATGATCCTAAGGCCACCACTGCACTCCCTTCCCCTCTCTCCTGCCTTGTTGAAATGCAGTGCTACGTAACAGCTTCTTGTCCAGAAGCAAAAATTAGTCTCTTTGGTGGTAGAGAGAGTGAGTGGTGAAACCCAAAGCTGGAGCCCTGCCCAGACACTTTGACTAATGTCCTCGGCTCTTGCGAAAGATCTCTGATGTCAGGGCCTCCAGTGTGTACATTTGGCTCAAAAGGCAGCGGATCAAAGTGGCTGCAGACGCAGCTGGGTGCAGCAGCCCTCAGGATGGGGCACCATCCCCTGGGGAGAACCTAGGAAAAGGGTCCCCAGCCGGCTCACGTCCGCACTCAGGAGATGCCCAAGGTCATTCAGTGATCAAATGCT